ATTTGAGTAATTTAATTAACTTATCTTTTTCACAACAATCATGCTCAATGAATTTAATTTTATCAATTAATGCAGTTTTCTCATCACAATCAAATACATCTTTTCACACGTATATCAAATTTTACACTAGTATGATTATTCTCTTTTAAGTAAGAAATTTCATTTAATAAAGATTTATTTTCAATAATTGAAGCCTTATATTTCTTTTGAAGCATAACATACTCAAACCAAAAGTTTTTCAAAATAAACTTGCATCTCCTAAAAAACTTTAAATAATTCATCGCAAAAAAGAGATTCAAGAATTACCTCGTCTTCTTCATCCTCTTTGTTATCCTGAGCTGACTTCATCCTCTTTGTCACTATGAGCCATGAAGCAAAAATTTGCTACTTTTTCATCACTTAGAGATTCATTTGCATATATTTTATTATGAGCTAACATGCTAATTTTTCTTTGTTTAACTTGATTTGTTCTCTCGTGAGTTATCAAGAGTTTTCCAAATTTCATAGGTTGAACAACACATAGATACTCTATTAAATTCATCATTACTTAGGGCACAATAAAGATAATTTATAGCACTAGTATTAAAAGAACATTTTTTTATATCATGTTCATTAAATTCATTCTCTAATTTAAGCTCCTCAATGTTTCTAATTTAAGCTCCTCAATGTTATTAACAATTTTTTTTATTGGAATGTAAGAATCTTGCTAGCATTCAACCATTTCAAGACCAAACCCAATCCTTTCCACGGCTCAGGATCAAACCGGTAAAATTGTCTGAAACTTTATAGAAACACACCACACACCACAATTCTTGGAAGTAGTAGATTTACAATTTTCTCACATTATAATAGACATCTCTCACACACCACAATTCTTGGAAGTAGTAGATTTACAATTTTTTCACACTACAATAGACATCTCTCTCAGAATAAGATAAACATAAATAAAATTGGAAACTTGGAGAGAGCAACAATGGAAGTTTTTAAAAAAAGTTTAGATTGAAGAAATTATGGAACTTCTGTATTTAAAAAAAGTTTAGATCGAAGAAATTATGGAACTTGTATATTGTGAAATGTTGTGTGTTGTTCTAAAAAATATTTAGTGGTGATGAGTTTAAATAGTAATCAAGTGGTAAAAATAGAAATTGATACGTACCACGAATTCAAATGTGCACTACGAAAAATAATATTTATTTATTTTTAAATTTATCATAAAAAAATTATAGACCACATGTTTTATTTATATATATATATTATTTTAAATAAATATTAAAAATATTTTAAATTCATTTTTATTTTATATATATATATATATATATATATATATATATATATATATATATATATATATAAATATATATATTTAAATGTAATAATATAATAAAAAGTGTTAATGAAAACATGTGAGTAACTACTCAAACCTAATTGAAAAGTTTTATAAATCTAATTGAAATCATTATAAATGTAATTGAAATAATTTTATAATTCAAGAAAACTCGTTTTCATAAATGTAATCGAAATAACGAAAAACTTTTATTTTAATTTAAAGCAATTGAAAATTCCACCATTTGTTACTCTACCAAAGTTATAAATGTCATACTTCGATTGGTCCATGATATCAATTTTGCCTGCTGGTTCATTATGTCAATTTTGTCACCACATCATCACGTCAGATATCTTGTTTTGAATTTGATTGGTCCATGATGTCAATTTTGCAGCCACATCATCATGTCGGGTTTTGACTAAAACTTCTTCGTTTTATCTCTAATTTGAGTGAACCAAAAAAAGGTTGAAATCGTTATTCTCAACCTTACATTGTGGACAAAATACCGAGAATTGTTAATAATTGAAGGTAGGTTTGTTATCATCAAAACATCAATTAATTAAAATTATTTAATTTGAGATTAAGGGTCAAAAGGCCAACAACCGACACTAAGACAGAAGGAAAAAAGGCCACCTTTGCCACCATGCATCTAGCTAAAGATGCAAAATTGTGGGGGCAGTCGAAGTACACAGATATCCAAGAGGGATGATGCACAATAGACACTTAGGAAAGACTAAAATAGGAACTTTAATCCCAATTTTTCCCACTATCGAGATCTTAGCCATAAGGAAGTTGGGAGATCTTAAACGCACATGGAGGATCCGAGAGTATGTCAAACAGTTCTCAATACTCATGTTAGACATTCGACATATGTCTGAGATAGACAAGGTCTTCCAATTCACAGAAGGACTAAAGTCATGGACGAGGTCCAAACTATATGAACAAAACATAGGAGACCTTTCCACGACCTACGCTACGGTTGAACGACTGTTTGATCTGAGCAACGAACCGTCCCAAGACACAACCATGTATCCAATCCACCCAGAATTGGAGAGGGGGTAAACTAAGAGCTTGAGGGGGAGAACAAAGACAACCTCAACAAGGGACTGAAGTCTTAGGTTGAGGACTCCACAATCCGAACCACTTCAATCGACCACCTCCCTACTGCTTCCTATATACAGGAAACTAGAGTATACGCTTATCCAAAGAAGGCATCACTACAAGCGTTCCAAGCAACTTTAGACACAGACTCGGAGGCGAAGTCAAAGGTGAGGAGACCGTAAAATCGCCGCTAGAAAACATATAAAATCCTTATATGGGAGCCCTAAAGTTCCTATTCGCCTACAAATGAAAGTAGGGGAGTAAAAAGAGCCGATCGAAAAAGATCTCATGTATGTAAAAGCATGGGTCAATCACAAATTGGCCAAGAGTACAATATTCGATTCAGGAGCCACCCATAACTCTATGACCGATACTGAGGCAAATAGGCTAAACATAAATTGGCAATGAGACTCAAGAAAAATGAAAGTTGTCAATTCTACAACCCTACCGATCCTTGAAATAGTAAGAAAGACTGCCTCGTTAGGAACAAGGGGTGAGCAAGTGGACTTTGTGATCGTCAAGATGGGCGATTTCGATGTTGTACTCGGGATGGAATTTTTATTGGAACATAAAGTTATTTCCATACCCTTGGCCAAATGCTTAGTCATAACAGGATCCACTCCCATCATTGTCCAGACGAGTATCAAGCAGCTTGAAGGGATAACGTTTGATGTCTACACTCCAATTGAAACGAGGTCTAGCCCACAATGAACCCGCGTTCATGGCTATCCCTGTGGCCGAAACTAAGGGGGCAATCAACTTCATCTCCATAGAAATACAACAAAGTCCTAGAAGAATACCATGGGGGTAATGCCGGAGAGTCTCCCAAAAACGTTGACTCCACATCGGGACATAGACCACGAGATTGAGCTAATGCCTAGGTCGAAACCCCCGACAAAGAACCTTACAAAATGGCTCCACCTAAGTTAGCAGAGCTACAAAAACAGCTGGATGAACTACTGACTGCTGGATTTAGACTTGCAAAAGCTCCCTATAGAGCCCCAATGTTGTTTCAAAAGAAGGACGATAGTCTCCACTTATATATAGATTATTGCGCCACGAAGATTATTTGGCTTGTTAGTCCTTAATCTCAAATTAATTAGTTAACTAATGTTTTGACGAAAACAAACCTACTTTAATAATTTTAATGTTTTGAAGTGGCTATAGTATATAGCTTGGAATGACTATTCCTACGCCTTTTGAATCACTCAAGTTAGAACTAAAATAAAAAAAATTTATAATCTAAGTAAGATAGAGTAAAAAACAATTAACATGATGACGTGAAAGCTGAGTTTGTTTCATGCATCAATCAAATTCTAACACATCACGAAGTTTTGGAAGATTTAGAGTTGGGTTGTTTTAGTTATTTTTAAAATAAAGAAATATATAATAAATATTTTATTTTAAAATTTAAAATAAATAAATAAATAAATTATTTAAACTTAAGATCTTTCATTAATATTAGTATTATTATTATTTAAAAAAAAACAATAAGAAAGAAATTTAAATTTATGGCCATTTTTTCTGGTCGTCGTCCTCCTAGTTGCCATCTATGACGGTTGCCATAGATATATTATTATTTTAAATTAAAAAAAAAAAAAGAAATTAAGCAATGTTTTGCCATTCCCTTTCTCTTTAAGCACATCTACCTCTCCATAATCCCCACACGTTGCTCTCTCCAAATTTCTAATTTTTGTTTTTAATTTGAGATTTCTATTATGAGAATATTGTTGTAAATTTACTTAGATGGGGGTGGTTCAAAATTCCAACATTTGTATTGGTTTGATCTGTAACCATAAAAATAATTAAGTTTATACTTGAACGGTAAAATGAACAATATTTTGTTTTTGCTCTAATTCAGCTGTATAAAGAGTGGTAAGATTTTCATAAATATTTTTTCAAATTTCCATTTTAGAGATATTTAAATAGAAAAAAAATCCAGTTGTGTTTTTTTTAAACTCCTTTTCTTATTGTAAGTGCTTCTCAATCATATGGAAACAAAATTTGCTTCATTTATTCATCAAAAAATACATATATTTTGGGTATTACAATAATTATGCGGTACAGTTAGAATGAAAAATTAAAATAGCAACTTACCACGGCCATTATTTTTCTAGCAAATTTGGGTCTATTCCACCCCCAAGTTTCTCAAAAATCTTATAAATAGACCCTAGAATAGAGCAAAATATTAATACCATTGAATACACAAAAATAAAAAATAAATAAAAATAACATTAGAATGGGTTAAATGGGCTAGAACAATTCAAGCTTCAAGCTTGGTCCATTACATCGAATCCACCCATCCAACTAAATTAGAGTGGACGATAATTTTCAATTCCTTTATCAAAGTTGTATATCTCATTAAAGCAATCTAATGAACAAGAATCATTCAAAATCATAAATTGTACCAAAAAAATCTTAGGATAGAAATTCCAATGTTTTCAAACCCTAAAAGTTACCTTAGCTCAGCAAGCTTCGACCTTCTCTAAATTAAATCCATTGTTCTCTTATTCACACCCTAATGATTAAAAGCACAAAAGAATCGTATTCAAATACTTGTTCAAAAGTTCACACCCTTATCATAGACTTTTTTTTTATAGGTTAAGATGTTTTTTTTTTTATCGTAAAAGATTCTTCACTTGAATCATAGTGTCCCGAAACCTGGTCAAATTTATCTTCAAATTCTGCTCATCTATATAGATCGCTCTACTCGCAAAGTAACCCTTGGCAAAGATCGACTCAGGATCTCTAATAACAGGGTGATTTTCCCCATACGTACCCCATAAAGAACTCTCCTCCGCCTCCATCTTGTACTCCAAATACCGAAGCTCCATGTCAGCCGCTGGATTTCCAAACAAAAACGTGGAAGGCCAGTCGAGCCCTAACGGCACCACCTGCACCACCACCGCACCCGCCGCCAAAAACAGCTCGTTCGTCAGTCCAGCCCCATGTGCTCCAACCATCACGCTACACGAGTTTACAACCCTCGAAAACTTGTCCAAATTCGACATTCTTTGCGGCGTTGTCGTGATTACTTCAAACCCAAGTTCCTTCATCATGTCAATCATTTCCCATTCATTCAGAAATCTCCTCGACTTTTGACGAGATATCAGCATTACCACCGGCTTTCCACCTCTCAATTCCCTCACGTTCTTCACTTGTAAATTGTATGTTTGCCTTAGGAAACTCCGAAAGTCCGACATGGAATAACCTCCTGGAATGTCGGTGTAATTCAACGATAAAATGTCGTGAAATTTCAATCCTATGACAGCTCCAGTGAAGCAGTGGACACTTCCGTCTTTCTCTGGATTTATAACATCGAAGCGGGACAACTGCGAGAGAATTCGGTTGTACTTTCGGACCCACCAAGGTTTGTAATCGGTAATGAGAAACTGAAGGCGAGTTCGAAAGTGGTAGGAAGTGATGAACAGAGGAATAATGGTCTCATCGAACTCGTGGAAAAGGTTTCCGGTGAAGCCGCCGGTGGAGAAGATGAGGACAGGATGATTGTGGAGGAATTGACAAACAGGTAAAAGGGTTTTGTTTTGTTGGATTATTTGAATTGGAGTGACATCTCGTAGTGTGATCTTATCCTCTTGTCTTGCGTATGGATGAATCGACATTTGAGAGAAATTTTGTTGAGTTTGATTGGTTGAGATGTAGATTTGAAGGGCGGTGTTGTTCATCCGAACTGGGTTTTGTGTCAAACAAACTTTGGAATGGAAATCTGAATGGCACGAAAATCCACTTTTTTTGAGTTGGGTAAGATCGTCTCCTATCACCAACAAGATTAAAGGAAGTGAGTGTTGATTCTAGATTAAAACTTTCAAGAATAGTGAGTGCGGAGTCTTTTCTATAATAAAATATTAAATATAATACATATGGCAAATTATAATTTAGAATCTCATTAACAGAGAATACTTCGTACCTCTCACTAGTCTTGCCAAGGCAAATTCAAGCGGCTCTGTATCCTCTACTGTCTGAACAACCGTTGTCGCGTGGCCCCAATTCGCTATGGAATACCATTGCCCTGCATTTGTGGAACAAAGAAATTGAATCCAAGCCATTATTGAAAAGAGTTTGAAAAAAGCTAGGACATTAACTTAATATGAACACACACAGGAGTGAAATGGAAGGAGATGATAGGAGGCAAGAAGTGCTGAAAAAAGCAAAGCAATGAGAAGGAAGCAAGTTGAATATGCTTCCACATCTCTCCCCATTATTCTTCGCTTCACCAATACCCAATAATGGAATCACCCTTACTCCCAATTCTATTAATTGTCGTTGGGTAGTCTAATCCTTGGAAGCCTCTGCCTTATCTTAATAATTGAATTATTATTTTAGTCAAATAAAGTACTTTATTAAATAGTTAAAAAGGACTTACAAACATTAAAGATACTATCTATACCAACAAGATATACTTTTATTTTAAGTGGCTCAATCCTAATAAATTTAAGATTAAGCGTGTTTTGCTGTAGCAATTATATGTTATGTAGCCTTCCGTAAATTTTGGATGCATGTGAGTAAGAACAATCATGTTAGAAGAGATGGGATTGGTCTTTAGACATAGTCTTCACTCATCGAACCATATAGCTAAATCTGAGATGTGGGTCGTTACATTTAACCAAAATTTGAATAATTATACAAACTATTAATATTTGTTCTCACTTCCAAACTTGAGGTACAAAAAGTGTGATTCTTTTAGTTAAACGATTAAAGGTTTGTAAGATGTGATGGCATAATAGCTTGTATGGGTTGCTTAAATATTGAATATTTTTGGAAATTGTCCACGCTTCTGATAGCCGCCTTGACTTATTCAACAACCAATGCCATTCATTTGGTCTTATTCGTTTTCTGCTCCGACTTCCCTTTCGAGCTATGACAATTTTTATACTTAAAATATGCCAACAACTTCAGAATATTAATACATACCAGATTCAATTATTGCTGAAATATTTAAAATAAATTATTGAATGACCCTTTTGTTTTTACCTTTCCAAGTGTACTCATAGTTGGCGATCATGATTTATGGAAACTTGTGTCAGTGGTTGGTGGTTGGTGGTGGTGTGTAACAAAGGACAAGAATGGTAGTACTACAGAAAATAAATTGCTCTTATACCAATTTGTAGAAAAGAAAACCCATTCCGATATCAACTTAAGAAAAAAAAGTTCGCCCTAAATCTAATTCGTTTAGATAACTCTTACGAAACGTAAGAGGTATCAAAAGGGAAGAGACAAGGAAATAAAAGAGTTCTCAACCGGTTTTTTTATTTATTACACACTAACTCAATGTTGTGTTTGTTGTGCTGCTCATTTTCTATTTACTTCTTTTACTTTGTTCTTTTCTCTTACTTTTTACAACTACAGGTAAAACTTTTTTTATAGTTTTTTGTAAGGTAAGTTTACCCATAACTGCCCATCACTTTTCTCTCTCCATAACTCTCCATAAACTTAAATGCTCCTATTCAATGATTCTTCCCGCATTGTTTTCGTTTTCTCTATCTCAGTCATGGTTTCTTCAATTTTCTCTTCTTTTCTTCGAGCAGCAAACTAAGGTTGTTCTCCTCTAGTGAGACTTCATTTGGATCTTCTCGAGAGCAGCCCATTTGCGGCACCGACTCTTCATTTCTCCCGTTCTCAGCCACGCTGGACTCAGATGTCATAGCCTCGTTCACTTTACTTAATTCTCTTCGCAAGTCCACAACCACATTTTCCACTTCCATTTTTGCTTCCTCCATTTCACCTTTATCACGAGTGATTATCTCAATCGTGCGTCGTAAAGTCACTGCCTTCTGTTGAACTCAATTCAGATTCACATCAACTGAATCTCTCTGTTGAGTTAACATCTCTACATCTTTCTCCTTCATTTTCGAATTTGAGTGGGCCGCCAAATCTTCAATAACCCTATCAGATTCATCCAATAACCTCCTAACAAATTTCTTCTCTTTCAATAGATTCCGATTCATAATCTCACTCTCATCTTTTCACAACTTCTTGCATTTCACCTTCAATTCTCCGTCTCTTCCAAAGTTCTTTTCTTATTCTTCTCCAATTCAATCATTTTCTTTCTCAAATCTTCTATTTCCTCAAACAATCCATCAAAATCAGCCTTAATTTCATCCCTCTCACAACAAACCTTCATCCATTTCTCCCTTTCTTCCTCAACTTTCAACACAAGCCCATTATTCTCATCCTTCAATCTCCCAATCTCCACTCTTTAATCTCTCACTCTCAACTAATCTACAAATCCTACCTCCCACTTCATCCATTTGACTCTGTTTCTTCTCGTCGTCATTCTTCTTCAAGTCGAGCTCCAAACTCCTTTCTCTTCTCGTGTGTCTCCTTCAAAAGGTGCTCGTTCAGCGATTTCAACGTCAGCAACTGAGACTTCTCCACAGGATTATCCACGACAGTTTTGAGTTGTTGCTCTGAATCTCTGTTCTCCTCCTCATGATCTAGCAGTTTCATTGGCTCGTTTGCCGATCACATGGGCTTCTTCTTCGTCATAGTTTTGGGATTTTCAAGGGATTGTGAAGGGATTGCAACTTGCATTTGAACCATCTATTTCTCATGTTCAATCTGCATTTTTGACATTCTTTCTCTCCATTCCATTTCATTCTCTTTCTTCTTTCATCTTCAAATTCTCTTTCCTGCCATTGGAGATCTCTCTCTCTTCGAGCTCGGGCTCTCTATTCTTCGGTTGTTCATCTTTCTTCGATTTTCTCGTCTCTGATACCGCGATTTCGCCAAATCTGCTGCGTATCACCTCATTTTTAACAACTTCCACTACCTCACGACTATCGCCATCGTCTTTCGCATCGCCGTCTACTTTTGTGTTCGGCTCTTCGTTTTGAGCCATCAAGAGAATGCCTCCACTTGTTGCGTCATCCAAGACCAGGTTGATGGTTTCTTCCACCTTCTCTTCGGCTCACAATCTCTCGCAAAGTGACCCATTCTGTCACAATTGTAACATTTGTCGGAATTACAATTATTTGCATAGTGGCCATATTTCTGACATTTAAAGCACTGGATGTTGGAATTGTATCCTTGATCGCGTCCTTGAATACGTCCTCTTCCACGCCAATTTTCTTGGCTCGATAGTCTCTTCTCCTGGTAGTTTTCTTCGTGACTATTGCCTTGACTACCTCTACCACTCTCGCGACTTCCACGATCTCTACCACGAAGATTCTGTGAATAGAGTATTTTTCCATCCATTATTGTTGCCTTCGTTTGAAGCGCTTGATCGTGTGGCTCATCCTTCTTTTTCTTACGTTGTTCATGTGCCTCGAGAGAACTGACAAGCTCATCGACTGTGAACTTCGTCAGGTCCTTCGACTCTTCTATGGCACACACGACATTCTCGAAGTTGTCTGTTAACGACCTCAAGATTTTCTCCACAACCCGCGTCTCGAGTACATTTCTCTGTTTCGATTTAGCTGATTCGTCACGGTCTATACACGTGTAATATAGTCATATACATTTTCTGACTCCTTAATCTTCATGCTCTCCAACTCGCCACGCAGAGTCTGGAGACGCACCTGCTTGACTCGGTTGGTTCCTTTGAACACCTTTTCTAGAGTGTCCCACGCTTCTTTTGAAGTAGTTGCCCTTTCAATCTTCTCAAAGCCCGACTCGTCAACGTCAACAACTCGGAATAGCATGTATAATGTTGCATTATCCTTTAATCGTAATTCCTTTAGCGCCTTGTTTTGTGCCACCGTATAACTTGTGGTATCAATCGGTTCTTCGAAACCGTCTTCGACCACCTCCCATGTGTCTTGCGAACCGAGAAGAGCTTTCATTTGGATGCTCTAATTCTCGTAGTTCGTCTTCTTCAATCGTGGTAGCGTCATTTGTCCCATCATGTTCGCCATCGGCTCTAATACCAATTTGTAGAAAATAAATTGCTTTGATACCAATTTGTAGAAAAGTAAAGCCGCTCCGATACCAACTTAAGAAAAAAACGCTCGCTCTGACTCTGAATCTAAAGGGGGTGTCGAAAGGGAGAGACAAATTTACTATGCTGCTCCTTTTTTTTTTTTTTTTTTCTCTACTTCTCTCTTATTCTTTTCTCTTACTTTTTACCACTATAAGCAAAACCTTTTTATAGTTTTTCGTAAGGCTAAATTTAGTCATAGCCCCATGACTTCTCTCTCTCCTGGGACATTTCTCTCTCAAATTCAGTAAGGGTCTTTTTGACCAAATTTAAAATAAATAAAAAATCATAATTAGTTTTTTTTCTCTCTCCTATGTTTTTAAGTTTATTTCTCATGTCCTATGTTTAAGTTTATTTCTCATCATTTACGGGGGAACAAAATGGGCTCAAAGGAATTGATGTTTAAGTTTTTTTTCTCTTAAATAGTACATTTCTTTATTGAATTATTTTAATTATAATTTTAATATTTATTTGTGAGAGTTAAAAGATCATCTAACCTATAAATATTTATTTACTATATTCCATCATTAACCAACAATTTTAATATGTAGGTTAATGGTGTATTTTTTATTGACTAGTCATTTTAATATGAAAGTTGGGTATATTTAACTCACATAGGTAAGATTTTAAAAGCTATATAAAGATTTTTTTTTTTCTGTCATGGGAGACGTCAAATTTTGGAATTGAAAAAAATAGAGCTTCTATTTGAGCCGAGCTAAATTATTTACTTTAATTCTTCTGTTTAGAACTTGCAATAGAGTCATTCCTGTGGTATTGATCAAATTTTTGGTGGAATTATTCGAATCACGAGTTTAGAACTAAATGTCTCGTTTTTTGGGATTCTTTGATAATTGAGATCTAGAGGTTTTGTTCTTCATCAAGGTCGTTAGATCAAATCTTAAGAGTTTCATAACACTAAGTCTCCTCTCATGACCTTATCCTTTCATATCACTCATTTAAGTGATTCATTAATCCTTCCACGAGGCTTGCGAGCATTGTCACTTCGCCATTTATAAGGACCTCTTGGGATTCATTAATCCTTCCATGAGGCTTGTGGCGTTAACCAATACTAACTCCTGTAATCTCTTACGGCTGGTCTAATCGAGCCTCCACTTTTAGAGATATCTCATCACTAGCTCATTGGAGTACATCAACTCCTCGAGTTTTTGTGAGGTGGCTAGCTTTTCTTTAAGCTGTAGGATACTTCCTTAACAGGTAAGTGTAATGATATATTTCTAAGATTTGGATAAGGTTTTGAAATCTATGACGCCTGATATCTCCCACGATATGCCTATGTTACTAATCTTAACCTACTT